CATTTGAGACCCATTTGAGACCCATTTGAGACCCATTTGAGACCCATTTGAGACCCATTTGAGACCCATTTGAGACCCATTTGAGACCCATTTGACACGTGATCTGCGAATGCATTGCCAAACGATTGCAGAGATTTGGCACTCAATGACCGCCACAGGCCTATAGTTCACTGCAAAACCCATTCAAAGCTGTATTCAAGTGAGAGAGAAGGGGGAGGAGAGGGTGTCTGCCACTCACTGTCAACCAATGGGAGCACTCGTCCAGTCATACGATTCACACGATTTCAACACTTTTTAATAGCATTTCAAACGAGACTTGAATTGAGTTGAAGATAAAGGACTGAACGACACTTTCATTGCATTGACAGTCAGTGAGCGCACAGACACTGCAAACCCATTACTGTTATCTTTTGGTAAGTCTTGTGGTGAACGCATCTGAAGATAACAAGTGATGTCGTCATCAATCGGACGCTCGAAGACGTCGTCGTCGACGAAGTCGTCGGAGACCTCGTCGTCGGTCTCGCTGTTCGCCATCCGCCCGAACGCCGGCACAGAGGGACGCGTTATGGAAGTGGTCGCCAACCACTTCCCCATGAAGTTCACGTCCGACCTTATGGTCTACCACTACGACGTGGATATGGAGCCCATGCGCCTCAACCAGGAGTTGTCGCAAATGACGTTTAGCGACGACACGGCCGACAAGAGTGACAAACGGCGCGCGAAGAAACTGAACTCAAAGGTGTATCGCATAGTCGTGGAGGAGGCCATCAAACGATACTCAGGTCCGGGAGAGCTGTTCGATGGCGTGCTTCCCGTGTTTGACGGCCAGAAGAATATGTACACGAGAAAGGAGTTGGATTTGGAGCGCTTCGCCGTGAAGGGCGGGCCCTCCCTTCCCGCGGACACCGACCGAGTGGTGGCGCGAATCAAAGTGGAGGTCAACGAAGACGGACACGAAACGATGTATGCGCTGAATATCAAGAACGCGTCCGTCATTGACATGAATGGCCTGAAGAAGTACTTCGAGAAGCAGACGTTTACCATACCGTCGGACGCCCTGCAAGTGCTGAACATCATCTTAAGACACGCGCCGTCCATCACGAAGATCCCGGTGGGGAACTCGCTGTACGCGCCCGCCTCGGAGGCCAAGGGTATGCGCAAAGACATAGGCGGCGGCCGTCAGTTGGCGTACGGATACTTCCAGTCCGTGCGACCCGAGTCCAAGTGAGTATAGGCTGCGAGAGGGGACTGGTATTCAATGTCTAACCCAATGCCTGTATGGTCTGTGAAGTGGTGTGAGTCTAGTGATTGACCGCACGGCCACCGCTCTGTACGACTCGGGACCACTCGTGCGCTTCATCTCGAAGATTATGGGCATTCAAAACAGAGCCGATTTCATGAATCTCAAGGAATTCCGCGATTCGGACCGAAAGCGCATTGAGAAGGAGTTGAAGGGAATCGTCATTCAAGTGACTCACTTGACATACAAACGCAAGTATAAAGTGATCGGAATGTCCAAAGAGCCGGCCACTCGAGTCACCTTCGACTACAAGAAGACTGATCCCAGAGGTATGTCTGTCCGCGTGTTGGCGCTAAGTGTTTGGATTCAATTGAAATGTATATTTGCATTGAATGACAGGCAAAGAGATTGATTTGGGAAAGATTTCGGTGATGGAGTTCTTCGAGAAGCACTACCCGGACAGGTGTCCCCTCCATTTCGGACACTTGCCGTGCATTATGGTCGGCAACTCGAAGAATCCCAATTACCTGCCGCTCGATGTGTGCGAACTCGTGCCCGACCAACACGTGTCGAAGAACCTGACGAACGAACAGATGGTGGAAATGATCCGCTCGTCGGCCTCGCAGACGCCGGCGAATCGGTTGGCATTCATTCGCGAGTCGGCGAAGAGTACGATCCTCGACTCGAAGCCCTATATGAAGGAGTTCGGCATCTCGTTCGCCGCCGGGAACGCGCCGCTCAAGATTGAGGGCCGAGTGCTGGTGCCCCCGCAGCTCATGTACGGCAACGGCCGCCCACTGAACCCCTTCGATGGCAAGTGGGATGTGCGGAATCAACAGTTCTACGAACCCCGACACCTGGAGCACTGGATTATTATATCTTTGACCCCCAATCTGGAGCCCAAGATGGAGGCGTTGGAGCGCGCCATCAAAGAGTCGGGCACTAAGTTGGGGATGCGGGTGATGGCGGCCACCAAACGCGTGTCCGTCAGGAGCTACGATCAGAACACGATCACCAATATCTTCAAGAAGGCACTGGAGGTGACCGGTGGACGGCTTCAGATGATGGTCTTCATCATTACCCCGAAGTACCAGTATTTGTACGAATCCATCAAAAAGGTGGGAGACGTGGACTTCGGTATAGTCACGCAATGCATCAAAGAGGCCAATCTGAACAACTTGAGGTATGCCACCATTGATTGCCATTATCTGAATGCCATTTAAACACTTCCTTGATTGTCTCGTAGGCCACCGCTCATGCAGAACGTGATGCTCAAAGTGAACACCAAATTGGGAGGCGTTAACGCCGTCTTGACTAACATCCCGGTCCTCAAGAAGCGAACAATGCTTGTGGGCGTCGACTGCTCCCACCCAGGAGTCGGCGATCGTATGTCGCGGTCGGTGTCGGCCTGTGTCGCGTCCTTTGATCACTCGTATGTCAAGTACTTCGCGACGACTCGTCTCCAGCGTCGAGTGCAGGAGATCTCGCAAGAGCTCCAGGAGATGATGTTAGACCTGTTGCGCGAGTACTCGAACAGAAACAATGGCGAACTCCCGGAGCAGATCATCGTCTATAGGGATGGCGTCAGCGAAGGCCAGTTCAACGCCGCGCTTCAGCAGGAGATCAAAGCGTTGAGCAAAACGTTTGCCGCCGAACGCGAGGGCTATGAACCTCAGTTGACATACATTGTGGTCCAGAAGCGTCACCACACGAGGTATGGATTGCTTTTTAGTGTGTTTTTGTCTCATTTAATGCATGTTTTGATTGAATCGTTAGATTCTTTCCGTCGAATCCGGCCGAAGGCGTGGGTCGCGCGAAGAACGTGCCGCCGGGTCTGGTGGTGGACACGGATGTGGTGTCGAAGACGCACTTCGACTACTTCCTGTGCTCGCACGAAGGCATTCAGGGCACCAGTCGTCCGACGCATTACTTCATCCTATGGGACGACAATAAGTTCACTCCGGATCAGTTGCAACAGTTGACATTCGCCTTGACTCACGTGTACGCGCGCTGCACCCGAAGCATCTCATACCCGGCGCCCATCGCTTACGCACATTTGGCCGCATATCGCACTCAGCGGCACATCATTGGCTTCAAGCAGAGGGAGGACTCGGAGTCGGGCTCTTACGGCGGGTCGTCGGTTGGTGTGGCCGCTCCACGGCGTCACGGAGTGGGCGGCGATGAGGTGCTCATGGATAAGATGAAGATCAACGCCGCCTTCAAGAGTCAGATGTACTTCTGCTAAACAGTCGACACTTTGCTTTCATTTTGTTTTAGACTTCAATTCTTATAAGAATTTCTTTTTTGTGTGTTTTTTAATTGATTTGTTTTTTTAAACTAACAGTTAATGATTTTTTACTTACATTTTGATTGCATTCGATGTCTTATTCAAGATATTAATCTTAATTTTTATCTCAATTTAATTAACCTTTAATTGCATTTAATGTCTTTAAATAGATTTGTTATTCTTTTGACAGCTATTTGATTGCCTTTTTAGGTAACATTTGTGATTCATAACACTTTTTACTTAACTTTTGTGTGATTATAACATTTTAAAATGTTTTTTTTGTGATATTAATTGATTTATTTTTGTGTTTTTTGATTTTTTGCAACTAAACCGATGTAACCATTTAATGATTTCTTAAAACTCTAAAAGCTTTTTATTATTATTACTGTATAAGAGAACTTCCCGACAATTGTCTCAATAATACTTATTAGTAGTGTTTGATGTCAATGAAAGTTTGCATGAATTGATGGGAAATTCCTATAATTGAATAAAATTATTTTATCTATTGATAGTTGTTTTCAATGTAAGAATGAAAATATTAATCTTATTTATAACAAGTGTTACGCAATCAAAGTCTCACAATTTAATAGTCACACAAAATATCGTAAAGATTTATGTATCGATTGTTTACTACAATTTATAAAAGTTGTAATATAAATAGCATATTGATTTAGATATTATTTACATAAGGATTTTATAAACTTTTCTTAATGTTAGAACAAATTTAAATATTTAAACATTTTATTAATTTATGTTAGCATCTGTTGACATTTCATGCAATATTAGTTAAAGTAAAATACAAGTTGGTAAATTTATAGTTTATATTTATACTTGTGACTCACCTTTGCATGACATTAACTGACTTTTTAATTTCATAAACAAATATTTATCAAACAATTACTTTTAATACTAAAATTCCTGAGATATAAGTGAATTTTCAACCTACAAGTGACCTAATAAAAGCATTTTACGACATATACTGTATAATATTATATAATATCTCAATAAAATGTTATTAACTCTTAGTTCACTCAACAAGTTATTTGACGATAATATAAATAAAGCGAAAGTAATGCTCCAAATGATACACAAAAAGTGCATTTCTTTCTAATATAAGATCACTGAAATTCATGAATATATTAGAGTGCACTAGTTTAAATTTAAGTTATTTATTTTAAACCTCAGATTCTTAACTATAAGTTTTTGTTTGAATACTCGACTTAATTTGACTTTCATTGATAAAATCAGTTATGTGTCGAGTATTGAGCTGTTGTTTTGCACTGATTTTACTGGTGATTAGTATTGCCATAATCGGGATCAGTCTTTATGTTCACATGGATTTTGATGAGATTATGGATAATAGGATTAAATCGGAAATGATTATCAGTAAAGACAGCTCTCTTTATGATGAATGGCTTAACAAGAAGACCACCGAAACCACTAAATTCTATGTCTTTGAAGTGGAAAATCCCGTTGAGATCCTAAATGGTATGAAACCCAAAGTCAAAGAAGTGGGACCTTTTGTCTTCAGGTAAGGAATGTCTGCTATTATTGTATTTTATTATAGAAATTATTTTATTAATTAGAGTCCAAAAGCTTAAAGAAAACATTCAGTTCTCAATGGATAAGACTATAGTGTCTTATACTGAGAGAAAGGTTTATACATTCAATGAAATCATGTCCATTGGAAGCATTGAAGAAAACCTAACTGTCATTAATCTGCAATTTATGGTAAATTATAAGACTTCGCATTCAAATAAGTAATAGTAAAATGTTTATAATAAAAATCAATTATAGGTATTGAACCCAATGTTGACGCAATTGTCTCAGACATCCAATACGATTAGTTCGCGAAATAATAACTCAGTGCTTAACTCAATATACGATACGTTCAGATCCAATGTCTTTGTGTCCAAATCAATCCGAGAGATACTCTTCGGCGGCACTAATGACTCGCAAATACGACAAATTTCCCAATACTTCCCGACCCTATCGCGAAGTGGTGTCACCACACCTAAGCTGTTGCCGCAAAAGTTTGCTCTCTTTGCCAATAATACTGAGAATAAGTTCGAGGTATTGACGGGACATAAGACGGGTCTCTACTCACGAATTCTCAAGTGGAACGACAAATCGTGAGTTTAATCCATATTTCAAAAATTGATTCAAAAATTGATTCAAAAATTGTTTTAAAAATTATTTGCAAACTTATTTTCATGTGACTGTAGGAGTCTGTCCGTATGGACGGGTCGTTCATGTAATCTAGTGAATGGTACGAATGGTTTCCAATTCTCGCCATTAATTCAGAGAGACGACAGACTATTTGAATATTCAACTGATATTTGCAGGTATTGTGCGGCATATCGTTGAGAATCAATAGCAGCACTCAATTGGTATTGATTTTTGATAACTTTTCAGATCAATTGAAATGAGTTATGAGAGTCAAGAAGATATCGATGGCATTCCTATCTATCGGTTCAGTCCGGTTGACAATGCCTTCTATAGTCCCAAACATAATAAGGATAACACCTGTTATTGTCTTTCGCCGAAAACACCGGAAAAGTGTAATTTCATCGGCATTTTAGACCTGTCTTCGTGTACCGGCGCACCACTCATACTATCAAATCCACACTTCAGACGCACCTCCGAAGTGATCACCAAAAGTATTGACGGACTTTCACCTGAAGAACGACTACACCATACATTCATTGAAGTGGAACCAGTAATTGATGACAAATAAGTACTTTATGTGCCATTAATTAACCCATTGTTCAACTTCTCAAAGATCTCAGGTTTGGTGACCTATAGAGCGCGTCGCTATCAGCTGAATGTTCACACGAAGAAATGTCCACTCAATCAGTCAGTATTGATATACCAATAGATTTTGATGACTATATCACTGAACCAAAACTTATGACCAGAAATGTGGGCAAAACTTTGAAAGAAGCGATCATTCCGTTGGTTTGGTTCGAAGAATTGGCAGAAGTGGACGACAACTCGAAAGACACCATTAAATATGTATTCGTTTATCCCATTAAATACGAAGAGGTGGTCGCCTTTGGTCTCATCATACTGGGAGGGGTACTGTTGATCACATCCCTGTGCTGTTGCTGTTGCTGCGGTGGCAAAAACAAAGTGAGTCCAGACATCGATTGCCTTTCCTATTCATACCATTAGACTAGTCGTCTAAATATGGCTTTAATTTCTGAATTATTCAGAAAGTCGATCCGATATCGAGTCAACACAGTTACCCATTGGACTCCAAACCGATCGTTAATACCATAAACGGCCCGTCCCTTAATGGCCCGACCCTTAGCCATAGCACTACTATAAGCCATAATTACGACCAAATATTTAAAGGCATAGAAAACCAATGAAACGATCGTTGCTTTCAATGATTTACTCAAACAATTGTCCCGTTTTTTAGGCCAAACTCCACTCAATCGACTGAAAGATAACCCGCCGAAGAGGCCATCATACATGACACAGTCATCGGGTGCACCACCCCCTCCCCCGCCGCCACCCCCTCCCCCTCTGCTCATCAATTTCAGCTCCGATAAAGTCATCTCAGATATGAAAGACGTTTCGTCGCCAGATTCGCGACAAAACCTCTTGAAAGACATCCGAAAGGGAACTAATCTGAAGAAAGTGGACGCAAACCAAACAATTGCCACAAAACCTATGGATCACTCATACGAAGAGCCAAAGAGTGAGCCGAAGGGTCTTATCATGACTTCACTGAACACTGAATTACAAAAGTTTATGAGACAAAGAAGTCAGGAGACGATGACCTATGGCTCCAGAGGCGGTCCACAGAGTTATTATCGTTGGAATAATCCCATGAATGAGAAGAACAACTCCATCCTCAACGAAAGGACTCGTTTCAAGAGCCATATCCCGCCGCCCGTCTCGCCCGCCAGACCCCCACCCCTTACTGTCCAGGATTTCATCGATTACAGCGACTCCAAGAACTTGATCGTCGAGTCTATGGATGAAATTGACTCCGATTTCAGTGATGGAGACGAGGAAGAGGTGGACACACCAGACATGGAAAGGGGTGATGGCCTGCAGCTAATGGAAAGACACCGAAATTCAGTGCCAATGAATGTCACCCTATCTGATGGCAATAACCACATCCCTATCATCCATAATAAGTCCCAAACCATTATCACTGATATCTTTCATATGGTTCACAAATAACTCAATGATTGTCTCATTTGTATGCAATGTCTTCACCATTATATCGATTATAAATCAATAAATGTATATAATTTGTGTCTATAATTGTATGCAATTTGCTTGGTCACCTCTAAACTGATCCCAATGTTACCATTCAATGGTTTAGTCAATGCTTGTGTGCATCACTAATCTCATTGACATTGCATTCAGTATTACAGTATAAGGCATACAATTAGTGGTGACATAAGACTCGAGTCTTATGACAGTAGGTATGCAAACATTTTGGATTAAAAAGCCATTCAATCAAAGATAATTAAATGTATTCAGCATTTGGTAGCAAATAGTATGCAAGTAATGAATACATAAATAGTAAACAGGATCAAATACAATATTATAACAATTAAAATCAATTAAAACTCATTTGAGAGTCAAATTGACTTTCAATTGAAGATTGAGACCCATTTGAGACCCATTTGAGACCCATTTGAGACCCATTTGACACGTGATCTGCGAATGCATTGCCAAACGATTGCAGAGATTTGGCGCTCAATGGCGGCCACAGAGACCTATAGTTCACTGCAAAACGCATTGAAAGCTGTATTGAAGTGAGAGAGAAGGGGGAGGAGAGGGTGTCTGTCACTCACTGTCAGCCAATGGGAGCACTCGTCCAGTCATACGATTCGCACGATTTCAACACTTTTTAATCGCATTTCTAACGAGAGTTGAGTTGAAGACAAAGTACTGAATCATACATTCATTGCATTGAAGTGACAGTCAGTGAGCGCACAGACACTGCAAACCCATTACAGTTATCTTTTGGTAAGTCTTGTGGTCAACACATCTGAAGACAACCAGTGATGTCGTCGTCAATCGGACGCTCGAAGACGTCGTCATCGACGAAGTCGTCGGAGACCTCGTCGTCGGTCTCGCTGTTCGCCATCCGCCCGAACGCCGGCACAGAGGGACGCGTTATGGAAGTGGTCGCCAACCACTTCCCCATGAAGTTCACGTCCGACCTCATGGTCTACCACTACGACGTGGATATGGAGCCCATGCGCCTCAACCAGGAGTTGTCGCAAATGACGTTCAGCGACGACACGGCCGACAAGAGCGACAAACGGCGGGCGAAGAAATTGAATTCAAAGGTGTATCGCATAGTCGTGGAGGAGGCCATCAAACGATACTCAGGTCCGGGAGAGCTGTTCGATGGCGTGCTTCCTGTGTTTGACGGCCAGAAGAATATGTACACGAGAAAGGAGTTGGATTTGGAGCGCTTCGCCGTGAAGGGCGGGCCCTCCCTTCCCGTGGACACCGACCGAGTGGTGGCGCGAATCAAAGTGGAGGTCAACGAAGACGGACACGAGACGATGTATGCGCTGAACATCAAGAACGCGTCCGTCATTGACATGAATGGCCTGAAGAAGTACTTCGAGAAGCAGACGTTTACCATACCGTCGGACGCCCTCCAAGTGCTGAACATCATCTTAAGACACGCGCCGTCCATCACGAAGATCCCGGTGGGGAACTCGCTGTACGCGCCCGCCTCGGAGGCCAAGGGTATGCGCAAAGACATCGGCGGCGGCCGTCAGTTGGCGTACGGATACTTCCAGTCAGTGCGACCCGAATCCAAGTGAGTATAGGCTGTGTGAGAGGGGACTGGTATTCAATGCCTAACCCAATGCCTGTATTGTCTGTGAAGTGGTGTGAGTCTAGTGATCGACCGCACGGCCACCGCTCTGTACGACTCGGGACCTCTCGTGCGCTTCATCTCCAAGATTATGGGCATTCAAAACAGAGCCGATTTCATGGCTCTCAAGGAATTCCGCGATTCGGACCGAAAGCGCATTGAGAAGGAGTTGAAGGGAATCGTCATTCAAGTGACTCACTTGACATACAAACGCAAGTATAAAGTGATCGGAATGTCCAAAGAGCCGGCCACTCGAGTCACCTTCGACTACAAGAAGACTGATCCCAGAGGTATGTCTGTCCGCCAAATGTTTGGATTCAATTGAAATGTATATTTGCATTGAATGACAGGCAAAGAGATTGATTTGGGAAAGATTTCGGTGATCGAGTTCTTCGAGAAGCACTACCCGGACAGGTGTCCCCTACACTTCGGACACTTGCCGTGCATTATGGTCGGCAACTCGAAGAATCCCAATTACCTGCCGCTCGATGTGTGCGAACTCGTGCCCGACCAACATGTGTCGAAGAACCTGACGAACGAGCAGATGGTGGAAATGATTCGCTCGTCGGCTTCCCAGACGCCGGCGAATCGGTTGGCATTCATTCGCGAGTCGGCGAAGAGTACGATCCTCGACTCGAAGCCCTATATGAAGGAGTTCGGCATCTCGTTCGCCGCCGGGAACGCGCCGCTCAAGATTGAGG